CTGACGGGAAAGAGGAAGTCCAAGATATCAGGTGAATGGCCCCGAAGGATGCCCCTAACAGGCAAAGAAGTGGCCAGTATCTTGTCATGTATAGACTCGAGTCCCATTCAGTGATGACCTTGTCAGCCTCGACTTCAGTGACAGTTGGTTCGACTTTTTGGGAATTAGGCTCGGCTGTAGAAACAGTTTCCTCCGTATCTCGTTCCAGATCCTCCATGACCCTGACTTCGTCGTCTCGACAATCAAGCGGCACAACGTACCAAGCAATGGAACTGTCCTGCTTTCGACCGGGGTCGGAAACGTCATGGCGGCGCATCGTCTTACGGCTTTGCGAGCTTGTAAGAACTCTTGCAAAGACTCAAGACATACCATCTCGGGAGCCAGGACGGCTTTAACAAGTTGGTAGAACTTGTGCTGATGCCGAAGTTGACGAGAGACATGAATACGTGGATGAATAGCCGTCCAAGTGCAGATGGCGATGGTGAATAAGCAAGACGTGGTGAGAGACCATGTGCCGCGGTTTGAATCTTCGGGAACCCAACCCACGAACTCAGCTTCCGTCGATCTTGTTGTCTCTGTGCCGTTCATGGGTAACTTGAGGGAACTTGATATCAACAGTGAGAGCTTGACATGTGATAGAGAAAGGCGGCATGATCGTTGCAGTTCATGCTGGCAAGCAGATATATTTCAGCTCGGCTGTCCAGCATGACGAGCATTGTCTTGTGTACCAACAACGCGAATAGCATCATGCTCAATCCAGTGAATCGTTATCATTCTTAACACTGTTGGTTCCATCTAGGAACGGGCCGCATATATTAAGCGCCTGAAGTCAAATTTAGCATGTGCCCTCTACTAAATTGACCAGTAAGGTGTTACAATCGGCTGTTTTAGCGCCCGTCCCTCAAGTTTTCAGGAGTGTGGCTGCTTACTTGACTCCTGAAACTCCACCATGTGATAACTGCCAACATCTAAAGGTGCGGTACTTCTTGCATCTCGACACTTCTACCAAAGCAATTGCTTTTGTTTGCCTGTAACCCCAGGCAATTTCCTATTCATTCACTTGGTCTGTTGCTGTGTCCTTTTACTGGCCTCTTACCAATATGTCGGCATCTTCAGCCTTGCGGCCGACGATGCTGGCGCTTGGTCTAACACTTGGCGTTCCAGCCATGCTGTATTTCAGTATTTTGGGAGCGTTGGTGGTTGCGCCCTCACTACAAGCTCACGCGATTTATCTACACAAAGTTACCTTGACGTGGTTCAAGGATCTTAATACACCGGAGCAATTTGGATTCGCTCATCATCAAGTCACACCTTTCTACATCTCAACACCAGATGGAGTCAAGTTACACACATGGCATGTGCTCCCGTTAGCGACATATGAGTCGCACCAAGAAGAACTATTAGCTCAAGGACCAGGCGGTGGATTGGTAGGCAAGTTTGAAGAAACTCTGAACTTCCGTCTACTAAAAAAGAACCCAAATGCTCGCCTGGTACTTTACTTCCATGGCACCAGTGGAACCATGGCCAGCGGTTGGCGCCCTGATAGCTACCGCTCTCTCTACTCAGCTGATCCCGTCAACACCCACGTTCTGGCCTTCGACTATCGCGGGTATGGAGAGTCAACCGGCTCACCAACCGAAGATGGCATCATCACAGATGCTGTCACTGTTGCCAACTGGGCCATTCATACTGCGGGCATCCCCCCTGAGCGAATCGTCATCTTTGGGCAAAGTCTGGGCTCAGCAGTGGCCATCGCTCTTGTCAACGAGCTCGCCCACAGGAAGCCCTCCATTCATTTCGCTGGATTGGTAGTTACAGCCACCTTTGCTGATATTCCCCAATTGACGGCCACGTACCGTATTGGCGGCTTTATCCCTGTGCTCTCACCGGTAGCAAAGGTGAAACCGCTGTTTGCGTTCTTTGCACGACAGCTTTCCAGTACTTGGAACATGTACAGACTGGGTGAGTTCGTCAAGGCTGCTGAGAGGTACGATATCACCCTCCTGCATGCCGAGGATGACACCGATATCCCCATGAAGCATTCCATCAAGCTTTATAGGGAAGCTGTCCGTGCTGCCGAGGGTGTCAAGGACCTGACCGAGAATGACGGTGAGCTCCTCAGCAGAATTAGCAGTGTCGAGAAAGGTCGTGGAGCAGGGGGTTCAATCACCGTCTGGCCTACCAGCAAGGGCGACATTAGACTCGAGATTTTGAAGTACGGAGTGCATGACAAGATCATGGCGTATCCTGCTACCGGACTGGCGATAAGCAGGGCGTTCGCTTCAGTCAAGCAATAGATGGGCATAGGATCTACAGACTATAGAATTTCCTTTGTCCACTGAACTTGGTAGACTTCACCATCGAAAGCGACCTCTCCCATCTGTGTTCTAACTGGAGAACCGCTTCGACTTGACAACATATCACCCAACAACACTGAGGCGGCGCGACACTTGCAGCGACAATTCGGCAGATACACAGACAGGGAAAAGGCGAGAGCAGTGCAAGAGTAGTATTTGACGTGTGCCTTGGTACTATCAATAACATTATGGCATGGGAGGGTGAGTCTGCCCCAGCATGCGTTCAAGCTTCGGGGCCAATATCGTCGTGGTTATATATCAAATTGCCTGAGAAACAAGCACATACGACCATAGGTAGTGTAAAATACGGGATCCCGTCCGCTCTCCCATAGTCAAGCCACTAACCGGCGGAGTAGTTGGGTCGGTAGCGAATCCCCGCTGTTGTATGTTTTTGCATGCCTTGCTTTTTGCTAATTACCACTATATGTTCAGATTTGTATTAGCTGGAGTACTTGTTATTCTATCTTTTACTGCCTTTGTCTACCTGTTTTGAAGCAGTCACGAACAGGGAGTTTTGGCGTTAACTATTGCTAACATTATTGCTAACATTATTTAGATAGACTCACAGCTTGCTGTGTCACACCTTTTTCACTAACATGGCTTGTGCCATGATCGCCCGAACGGATTACGTGAATAGTGAAGTATATATTATTATTTCATGGAGCTTTGAAACTGGCCGATTAGTGCAAGTATGGCCGTTTTGAAAGCTGTGCTTGTCGCTCTCTTGACAAGGCAACAAACCCTCCAAAACTACCAGAAGACAACCCATCCCGGAATACAGGCGTTCGACGTTATGTTAACGTTATAATAACGTTATCGTAATGTTATACGTCCTTTAACTGACATAATCTCCAACGTTGTTTATAGACCTGAACATTGTTCAAAAGGTATTTAATCCTAGACTATTTGACAGGACCGTGGATGAATATCAATTCTTCGTTTCTCATTTCAGACAATCACCACCATCATGACTGAAAACAAACAACGCAACGTACTTGTTACTGGAGCCAATGGTTATATCGGCTCAGCAGTTTGTCGAGCCTTTGTAAGAGCAGGGTGGAATACCTACGGTCTCATCAGAAATCCTCAAGCTCGAGAAGAAGTTGCACTTTTTGAAAGTATTCCAGTAGTGGGATCTTTTACTGACCTCAGTTTCCTGGAAACACTTTTTGAAGAGGTCAACTCTTTCGATACCATCGTCAGCTGCACGGAAAAGATCCCAGGCTATGCTGCACACTTCGAAGAGGTTATGAACTGTGTCAAGAGACTGGCCGAGAAGAGTAACGAAAACGGAGTTCGACCTCTAGTTCTCTGGTCATCTGGCTGCAAAGACTATGGCAAGACTGGTCTTCACGGCACACCTGGTCTTGCGCCTCATACTGAAGAGTCCCCGCTGAATGCACCTGGAATATTGAAAGAACGTACAACGAACTCTGCCAGGGTTTTCGACTTCACGGCGCTCTTCGACGCGGCGGTTATCAGACCGACATGCGTCTTTGGATATTCAAACAGCTACTACGGTGCTATATTTGACTATGCTGCTGATCAACGAGGACAGGGATCCGAGGTTCTTCGGATTCCTGGAGATCCCGATAGCATCATGCACGCAACTCACGTTGATGATTGCGGCGAGGCTTATCTCTCTCTTGCGGAACTCGATGATCGACGAGCTGTGGATGGCCAGTTCTTCAATGTGTCGGGCTATCGCTACGAGACTCTCGAAGAGGTTGCAGGAGCTGTAGCCAAAGAGTACCGCTTCGCGAAAGGTGTTCAGTCCATCCCAGCTTCTGAGGCAGAGGCATCATTTCCGCCTGGACTGCATTTTGTCTTCAGCTTCAGTCAATGGGTAGGAAGTGAAAAGCTGCGGTCTTTGACAGGATGGAAAGATGAACGAGCGTTGTTCTCAAAGGGGATACACGCTCATAGGTTGGCCTACGAAGCCTGTAAGGGCCAGGGTCATGCCAATGTCGCTGAAGTGCAGAAGAGGATTGGAGGTAACTTTAACTAGGTAATGCAGAGAATCAACAGGGGCAAGGCACAAAAATAGCCTGGGACGATCAAATGCAACTCGGCATCTAGAAGCCGTGGCTAGCCCTGCAGTACCTGTATGTAGGTGAGCTCGGGAGGTACGGAAACAGCTGTAGAATGACGTAAGGGAGAGACAAAACGAACAAGAACGAATTTATTCGGATCGCCGGACTCAGCTACCTTATTCATGTGATACTTACCAGGTTTTTAGCGGTTAACCCGAGTCATTTCAGCAATATTCTTATCAGCACCTCGGCAGCTCTGGAGCACTAAATGAGGCAGGCAGTTGATCACTATTCAAGGCCCCAATGCAAAAGGTCAGACAGAGTTTGGGTCTAGACCAGACTAAACCATCCCTGACCAGTCAATCTCCTCTACCGTCCGACATTGCATCGTGCTAACGTTTAGCAGATGGACAGGACCAAACATTTAAGTCTTACCTCGACCCCACAAGTGACTTGAAGCGCAATGGATTGTCAATCTCAACGTCTTTGGCCTAAACGATAACGAGCGTGCGTGTGTTGGTGTGTGCCTGACTCGGCTTGTATCAATATCTTCAATTGCTCTCTTCAACTTCATCCTCCTCCCTCTCTACACCCACGAGCACCCTACAAGATGGACCTCAGTCGCATCAAGTCCCATGGACTCGGCCATGTCGCGATTGATGACAGTGACACCGACAATGGCCCCTCGGGCAATGTTATCGACGATGGTCGCGTCAAAGTTCAATTCCACGACACTCCCCAAGCCCTAGCCCAGTGGTGCGAACACCTGAAAGAGGCATTCGCAGCCGACGGCGCAGATTCAGAGCATTTACTACCGCCCAAGCCGTCAAAACCGCGTCGAACAAGCACCGTTGCCTTCCTCCCGGGCGTAGAGAAGCCGGCCGAAGGTCCCCGACTAAATATTGCCATCCATATCGTGGGCTCTCGAGGCGATGTCCAGCCGTTTATTCCGATCGCGCAATTGTTGATGAAGCCTCCCTATGGTCATCGAGTACGCATATGCACGCATGCTAGTTTCAAGGAATTTGTGGAAGCACAGGGTGTTGAGTTCTTTAATATTGGCGGAGACCCCGAAGCTCTCATGGCGTACATGGTAAAGAACCCTGGACTATTACCAAACAAGGACAGTCTCAAGGAGGGCGATGTTGGTAAAAGACGAAAAGAAATGATGGAGATTATCTCTGGTACCTGGAGGAGTTGTATCGAGGCTGGTGATGGAATGGGAGATCCTGTTAAAGCTGCGACCGTGGAAAACGTGGATGATCTCTTCCTTGCAGATGTCATCATTGCCAATCCTCCATCGATGGGCCATATTCACTGCGCTCAAAAGCTCAACATTCCATTGCACATGGTCTTCACAATGCCGTGGTCACCTACCAAAGCGTTCCCCCATCCTCTGGCTGCTATGAGCTACGGAGATGCCGACGCCAAGGTCGCCAACTACCTCTCTTTCATGATGATGGAGCTTCTAACATGGCAAGGGTGAGTATCTTGGTCCCCCTTCGAACCATTGACTCACAATCTTAGGCTGGGCGATCTCATCAACAAGTTCCGCGGTCAAACACTTCACCTCGATCCCATTAGTCCAATGTGGGGATTCCAGCTTCTCTCCAGACTTCGCATTCCATACAGTTATCTCTGGTCACAAACATTGATTCCCAAGCCTGCCGACTGGGACGAACACTTGAACATCACCGGCTTTTCCTTCCTACCGCTCGCGAGCTCTTACACGCCTCCCAAAGACCTTCTGGACTTTCTTGAAGCAGGTCCTCCACCAATTTACATCGGTTTCGGATCCATCGTTGTCAAGGACCCGCAAGCGCTCACCAATATGATCTTGAAGGCAGTCGAGCTCGCGGGGGTTCGGGCGATCGTGTCGAAAGGGTGGGGCGGAGTCGGAGTTGGCGAGGTCCCCGATAACGTCTATCTCATTGGGAATTGTCCGCACGATTGGCTCTTCCAACGAGTATCCGCTGTTGTTCACCACGGTGGCGCCGGTACGACCGCTGCCGGTATCGCGGCCGGCCGCCCAACTGTTATCGTTCCCTTCTTCGGAGACCAGCCTTTCTGGGGTCAGATGATGGCTCGCGCTGGCGCAGGGCCCGTATCAGTGCCGTACAAGGAGTTGACAGCGGAAATACTGGCAGACAGTATTAAGTTTGCTCTCAAACCAGAGGTGCAAGAAGTCGCTAAGGATATGGCTATTCAGATTGGTGAAGAGGATGGAGCTGGTGGCACTGCTCAGGATATTCAGGACCGCCTTGACATTGACAGCCTTCGTTGCGACATTTGTCCTGATAGGCTGGCGAGTTGGCTTGATCGCAAGACAGGAGCGCATCTCAGTGGTTTCGCCGTCGGTTGTCTCATAGATGCTGGGCTCCTGCAGTCCCAGAACCTCAAACTACTCAGGCATAGACATTGGTACGTGGATGAAGGAGCCGAGTACCCTCTCGTCGGTGCCGTAGCTGCTGTGTCAGGCTTCGCCTCAGCCATAGGAACCGCCACATCCGATTATGCCGAACGCCTAAGACATTCCCCAGGTCGCGGAAAGACAAGGCGCTCCAGCATCGACGACACGCAAGAAGAGGTCTTGACAGATCCCGAAGAAGCCAAGACGGGAGAAGCCCGACTCCGGAAAGGTCCACGTGGTGCAAATCAGAAAGACATGGAAATACTGGCACGGAAATTGGCAACCAAGACACTCAACGGCGCCGAGCCCGTCTTCCTTACTCCGAAACTGCGTCGACCTGTTACGGGCCTTCACCAGAAGCACAAAAGGGCATGGAGGGCCCATGAAGGTGGAAGAAATGGCCGCGTCTTCTATGTTACACGTGTGACAGGTAAATACGTAGGCGACCTTGCTGCAGCCAGCGCGAGAGCACCCGTGGCTTTCTTCTACAACATCGCCAACGGATTTCACAACGCCCCGTCCAATTTCTGGAATGTTGAAGTTCGACGCCGTGATGAAATAACAGGACTAGGCAGTGGACTCAAGGTTGCAGGCAAGGAGTTCGTCTTGGGCTTTTATGATGCTTTCAGCGGAATCGTAACAAAGCCTTATGAAGATACTAAAGCTCGAGGAATCAAGGGTCTCGGAAGAGGCTTGCTAAGAGGTGGATTTGGAGTCTGTGGTAATTTGGGTGCAGGCAAGTCACTGTCACCCCCCTTAGTCCCAGAGACACGAGTTGCTAACCATACCACAGCATGCTTTGGTCTCCCAGGATATGCTCTTAAAGGTCTCGAGAAGGAGATGATGAAGCATACAACAACGCGCTTAAACGCGGAGCTATTACTGATCAGGCTGAGACAGGGCCATCAGGATTGGCAGAAAGCGACTGAGGGAGAACGGGAGGAAGCTGTAAGACGGTGGAAAGCACTAAAATTATAATTTTCTTAATATTAGTAAAAAGGTAATAGTTTAAGCTAAAAACTATAATAATTTAGTTTTAAATATTAATTTATTTAATTTTAATTTTAATTTTAA